AAATCTGAAAATACAATTTGTCAGTAAATGCATCATCATTATCATTTCCAACATATTAAAACTAGTTTCCCCTCCCATTCCAAACATTGGCCAATTAACAATGAATAGACATGTTATATGCAACTCACAAAGTAGCAATTCCACTCATAGATGTAAATCTCAAAGAAAGTCAAATACCTACTTGAGAGGAAATGCAAGAGTATTCACAGCAGCATTGTTTGTAATTGCAAAATCTTGAAACTGCGTTTATGTCCACCAGAATAATGTGTAAATAATAAGAGGAATAGGCACTCAATGGAAAGCTATATGACACTGAAAATAGATCAAGTAGGGTGGCATGAATAAAATGTATTATTCAAACATGTTATTGGGCCAGTAAAAAGATTGCAAAGACATACCTATAATAAGACATGTACTAGGATAAGATATCATTCATATAAACTTCTAAGTCATTGCATACCTAGTGAAAGTATAAAAAAAATGCATGTAGAGTTGGGAGTATGGTTGCCAGATAAAGTAGAAGATGCCCAGTGAAATCTGAATTTCAGATAAATAACCAATAATGTTTTTAGTACAAGTGTATCCCATGCAATATTTAGAACAACTAAACAGTTTTTGGTTGTTTTTCTGAAATTCAATTTTTACTGGTGGCTTGTATCTTTATCTGCGAAACCCAGCAACCCAATGATGGGGAAAGATGCAAAGGGGCTTCAGTTGTACTGATATTTTAGTTCTTAAGTTGAGTGATGGGTGAATGAGTATTTGTTGCATTTTTCTTTGTGCCATTTTCAAAGTCTTAAATATTTCATAGTATGTTAAAATATTAATAGGCAAAAATGAATCATGTACCAGAAGAAAATCTCTAGTTAAAAGATACAACTAAAAGCCAAGTCACACAAAGAATTAGGATGGGGGACAAAAGGGAAAGAAATAACAAAAGCATATAACATAAAGAGAAATATGAAAATAAGGGCAACGAAGTGGTATCGTACTATATCTTTGTGTTATCAGTATATTTCATTTGTATGGCGTTTTCCCCCCAGGTCACAAACCTGAGATGGAATGCTTAATTAGTTACAGAATTCAACCTAAAAACAAAAACTTGGATAATAGGTGTTTTCCAAGACTCTGTAATAATTTCAGTTATATTTAAATCAATAAAAATATATTTGGCTACAAGTAAGTATTTTAATAAATGGGATGTTTAAATCTATAAAACAAGATGCAAAGAGTTGGCCATCACTTAATTACTTTAAGCCCAGAAGGAAAAAAAAGAATAGACGAAACAGAATAATGATATGCACAATTACTTCTCTAGTTAAAATTAGAAAACAGTGGCTCTCAATCATGGAGATGGGATCACATTAAAATCACCTGCGGAGTGTTAAAAATACCAATGCCTGGGACTCAACATGGGCAAATCTGATTTAATTGGTATGCAGGAGGAACCAGTCATTGGTAGTTGTTAAAGCTCCCTGGGTGATTCTAATACACAGTCAGGGCTGAGTATTGCTCTATATTGCTCCACAACTTGAAAAGCCCATAAGCTGTGTGAGAGATGGTGAAAAACAAAGATGCTTGGCTTGTGGATGTAAGAGCTGGCTCCTTAGAGAATAGATTCAAATATCACCTGAGTCCATTTACTTCATACCAAGGGCTTACTATAACTGATAGGAAAACAGGTATTCTGGAAGTACAATACCTCACACAGTGCTGAATAAACAGATCTTCACCGAAATAGTTGAAGTGTGTAAATACCCTAAAGGATAATGATACTTGTAGCTTACATAGTAAGCCTTGAAGTACTATCAGTGAAATACCAAGAAACTTGAGCAAGGTCTAATTTTTAAAAATGCAGAGAATGAACTCTTACTTTTTATCTTAGAATGAAAATACTTCAATATCTCCCAGTAACCATCTGCCTTTACCACAATGAGATGGATTTAAGACAGCCCGTTTTTATTTCTACTTGAGTAACATGAGCTTTGGTTTATGGCCCTTTTTCCCCTTGCCTCATAATTAAATGACTAAATCCCATCCACAGCATTACCTACAGAACATGATTGGAGAAAGATTAGCCATTAAAGAGAGAGGGGATTGCCGTTATGGCTTGGGAGACCTATAACCACCCACTCTCTTAGGAATCCTATTATGGCTGAGCATTTGTGTTATTGGTATTGCAACTCAATTCACATATATCAAGCTGTAAACTCCATTTACAGTCAATCCACATTTCTAGGTCTCTTCTAATAACTTATTTATTTGTGTGTTTCACTTTGGAAGAAGTTATGCACTTCAAAATATCTTCATCTATTGCCAGTGACTATGGAGCTTCCTTTTGTTGTACAATAAAGCATCTTATCCCTATTAACTAAAACCCAAACATCTGCTGTTTTACCTTTGTTTTTAGAGCTTCATAAAAACTGATGATAATTCATGTGATTTCAGATCTACTTTCCATTCAAAAGAGCAGTAATAATATAAACAATTATTCCCCCCAGTGACAAATGCTGATCAGAATCAATTTCATAAATCAGGATAAACAGATACCATGTACAAATGAATTTCATATATATCCCCTTCTATAATTGAGAACAATTATAGCAATAATATGCCTCAATGTCTTTGAATTCAACTCTTAAGAAACAAAGGCCTGGCCCAAGTTAAGCAAGTGACTACCTATTATCATTCAACTACAGTGCTTGATTTAGCCATAAACTACATTTCTTTGACAAAATAACTTCAAATGTTTGGTGAGCCTTCATTTTCTTCCCCTCAATTATGTTTACCTAAGTGCAGGATTTCTCCTTTTTCCATGTTTAAATTCACTTCATTGACAACAGACATTGCAAACTCCTCAATGATTTCTCTGTGCCAAATGAATTTCTGTCAAAAGGCTCCGATGAAATCTGTCTACTCTTGGTGACCAGATTGATCCGGCTGCAGCACAAGATGAAACAGATCATTCATCTAAGTTTGGCCGTGCCAAAGCCTGCTCCCTCCTGCATATCCACAGTTGCCGAAAAAGGAGCAAATAACTTTATCTCACAACCAGAGCTTAGGGTGGTTGAGTGTTTTCATTACCTGTGGACATCAATGGCTTTGGGGCATAATTAATCATGCTGAAATTACTTCATTATTTTAATGAGGTTTTTTTCTTTCCTTTGTGATAAAAAGTACAGGGGAAAGAAATGTTTCTCATTATTTCTGAAACGAAAGGAAAGTGAAGGAAGTGGAGTAAAAACACAGAAATCATGCAAAAGAGAAGCAGTTGTTCCTACTGCTACTGATCTCTCTCTGCCTCAAAGACAAAGGGAAATGTGATGAGGAGAAGCTTTTGTGGACACTAAATTCAAAGACACCATGGCTTCTGGGGCCATGGTATGTGAAACAAAGTGATTTCATCTCAAACTCTTCAGAAGTCTTGTTTACCCTAAATATTTGAGAGCAATTTTTTTTAAAAAGAGAGGAAAAGAGAGAAGAATGTATGTACCTATGCTAACTGTAGGTAAAAATAAATGACCTCACAGCTTTTCAAATCAGATATCTTTGGATTCTTCCCTTTAAAAAGGCGCAGAATCATTATTATGTTTAGGAAGTGAAGAATATAGGATTTTTTTGAGCATCTGAACATTTATATATAATATATGGTGAAATACTGACATAGCTTCTGTTTTAGGAGAAAGCACTTCATTGAGATTAATTCTGAACAGCTGAGAAACAGGTCCTCAGGTAAGATGACCTTACCTAGTGATTCTCAAACTTCAGTATGAATCAGAATCTCCTGGATCATGGATTGCTGGACACAATTTCTGGTTCAGAAGATCTAGGCTGGGGCCTGAAATTTTTCATTTCTAACAAGTTTCGTATTGATGCCTAATCCCAGTCCAGGGACCGCACTTTGAGAACCACCATTTTAAAAATCACCATGTGGTGCAGTACTTGCGTGTTATTTAGTAGAAGTAGCCAAGGTGTGTTTCTGTATTGTAAGGGCTCAGATGTCTTTCACTATCAAGAGATTCCTCAGAGAAAGATACTTTTAGTAAGTCTGAAATGTTAGACTGATATTTTACTGTCTTGTTTTCCATTACCAAAACTAATCACTTGTCATTACATAAGTGAATGAAGCCATTAAGCAGATATCTTTCAAGGACCTCTTACTCTTTTTCATTCACTCTGACTATACTCACAATGTTAGAGAAAAATGCATGTCTTCTATCATTTACTATAGTACTTTTGTATTGCTGAAAAGTAAGATTTCATATAAATCAAAGCTTCAGATCTTGACAAAATCTGATTTTTGTGACATGCAGATTAGACCTAAAAGACATGTTATGTATTAAGTAGTTCATTCAACTCAATTCTTCCTTTCAATGACGGACACTGGAACCCAGATAGTAAAAGTGTATTTCCAAGGTCACAGAGCTACACAGCCAAAGTCAAAGGCAGAATTAGAACCAAAGTCTCTGTCTTTCTACCTAAAGTTCTTTTTTTATTTAGACATTCACACACTTATCCATAGATTCTTTCATTCATCAAACTACGGTATTACACATACAAATAATGTCAGACACTGCTAGGCACTGACCATGCCAAAGAAGCCAAAGATGAACTAACATCTTCATGGAGACGACTCTGTGCTAAGCACTATGTCAAGGGAGAGTACCTATAAGGCTTCCAATTTAATCATCATAGCTATTTTGAGAAGTATCCCCATCCCTTTTTCCCTGGTGAAAAAACCTGTATTTGTTGAATTTAAGTATTTTTGATCTCAAATTCAGTGATCTTATTAAGGTATGATCCATGTCTAAGAGAAAATCGAAACAGACTTGAAAAAATAATTTCATTTTTTAATTTCAGTTATTTTCATTCATTTATTTTTTAGAAAGAGAGTGAAAGGGAGAGAGAAGAAACAGAGAATCCCAGCAGGCTCTGCATTGCCAGCGTGGAGTCCTATGCGTGGCTGGAACTCATAGACTGTGAGATCTTGACCTGAGCTGAAGAGTCAGATGTTTAACCAACTGAGCCACCCAGGTTCCTCTGAAAAAGTAATTTGAATGATGTGTCATAAGAACTATAAAAGAGACACAAATGAAGGAAGGAGCAGAAAACACTGACTATTAAAAAGTGTTAGCAAAATTGACACTCATTAGTCGTATTACATCCTAGGAAATTGACTTCTACCAGTCTGATTTGATCCTTTCAACGACCCTGTGCAGAAGGTACTACCATCCTTATTGTACAAATGGAAAATATGAATACAAGGAAATGTGCCCAAAGCCACAAAGTACATGAGTGTTTTAAGTTGTATGTGTCCAACTCCAAAGCCCACACCTTCCCCATATGTTCTACTTCACATCATGTATGCTACACCAAGATCTATTTCTCATTTTCTCATCTTGAAGTGAACAAACCTCTCTGGTCTCCCCCAGATTCTCTGGATTGCTCTGCTTTTTACCTCATATTGCCAATAAACTTCCACTCTTCATTAGAAGTGAAACTTGTGTCTCCAAAAAAGTTGCCTCAGAGCAAACTGAAATAGTGCCTGCACAGTAATACTACTAAAGGCTTTACTGGAAAACTTTTACTCTTCCTTGATGCTTCAGTCCACAGTATCTCGGGATGTATTTCTTTCCTTTTGACAATTGTATCATTATGCACTTCATTTTTAAATGGAGCAGAATAGGTAGAGAGATACAAAGCTCGCTCCTTGGAGAACCACAAACAAAATAGCATTCCAGGAGCATTTTCATAAAGAAATGTATTCACTCAGAAGATGAATAGAGTTGATAAGCTTGGCGTCTCTAAAGGCTTGCTCTAACTTGTACTTTGAAAAAATTAATAATATAAAGGAGAGAGCTTTAGAAAGGAGTGGAGCAGTAGCTACATTCTGTTTTATTAGAGAAAGATGGGCTTCCCTCCCAGGGCAACAAGATTTTTCACTGCTATCAGCCCTCCAGACTGATTATATACGGTTAAACTCATCATGGCCGTGCAGTGTCTGTTGATTCCTGGGCAGATCTTGGGATTCTAGAGGCAAACAGTCCTATGCACCGAAGAGAGCATTACCCAGGGCAGCTGAATGATGCCTGCCTGCTGCCTGCTTCAGCGACTCTTCGCTATTCTGACAATGCCAGGAGGGACTCTGAGCTTTAAGAACCTCCGGAGACTAATAATGCAAGTGCTAATCGTTAGCATCTCCCAGAATTCTTGTAGTTCTCATCTCCTCCAGATTCTCAGGCTGCTGTTTGTATAATTGAAGAAAACAACACAGCCAAAGGGAGGCAATTTATCTTGTGAGCCTCTGGTAGCAGAGCAACCTAGCGGGGTTGCATAACAAAAATCAAGGCAGAGGAAATAATTGATTGGGGTGGGGGGTGGGGAGGAGGCTGTGGGTGTGGTTTCTCCTCTTAAAGGAAATCTGAATTAAAAGATAGAAAAAAAGTAGTTTTAAGAGGAATTAAAAATCTTTAGGCTTTAAAGTGATCTTGAAGAAACATCTCCCCACTGGAAAAAGCAACCTCAGCAGAGAGACATGCAGAAAGAGCTGCATTTATTATTCAAAGCCAATAAATACTAGGGAATGACATCTTAGGCTAAATAGGTCTATCTTGTGCTCACTGGCTCTGAATCACCAAGCTGAAAGGGTACTGAAAGATTATTAGTCTAACATAACCAGTTAGATGCAGAGTATAAAATATAATACAAGCATCCTGACACCCTCTCAATATTGATTCTCCTATTATTATGTGGTCTATGACAATAAACTTATAATAAAATACCCTAAAGAACAAAAGTCATGCAACTGCTGGACTGAAGAACACCTACAAATTTATATACTGCCGCTCTTTTAGAAAACGCTCTAAGAATACAGATATAAATAGGTGGTCCAGGAATGTTTCTAGGTTTTGTAGTTTACCGGATACCTGAGGAGGCACTAGTAGATAAATAAAAGCTGGGAACTGACATTTACCTACCTGGCAATTAGCACTTTCAACCTCACCAGAAAGTTGTTAGAACGGCTGAACTTTGGATCCACCCAGACCTACTGAATCAGAATCTGCATTGTAAACTAACCATATAAACTATCTTGGGATTTTAGCAATAATCTTCTATTGGCTAGCCTTTCATTTTTATCAGCTGCACCAAAATATTTTCATGCTTAAGGAAAAAAAAGAATAAGGCATTCAAGTGGAAATTAAGGATAACTGGGCTATGAAACATTATAGTAGGACATTAGAAAAGCCCTTTATTTATTTTAAGGACTTACTTTCAAGTTTTCTGATTTTTTGTTTGTTTATTTTAATATCTTATGCCAGACTTCTTTTTATCTTTCATCTTTGCCCTCTGCATTGAATTGAGTGCTGGCAACATCATCCCAATTTACCCCTTCTTGTATGAGGGGACATGACATGTGTCCCCTCGCCTGGGACACACTCTCCTAGTTGTAAGTTTCTACCGATTGAGTTATACTTCACCAAAAACCACTTATGTAGGTCTCACTTAGCAAAAATCTCCCTTCATCTGGTATTATTTCACCTTTCTTGTTGGTACTTCCTTCCCCATTGTTTTATTAGGTCTGCTACTGAGCAAGGGGATAATGACCCAGGATGTGGCTACATCGTGTGATTAAGGTAATCATGCTGGACTGATTAAAAGCAGAGGAAGCTAAACAAAAGTGGTCTGTTAATATGGGCATCTAAAAGCAGATATGTTACCAAGGCCATAAAAGTGCTAAATATATTATTTCCATCTCCAATACACCTTGTTCAGAGGAAAAGATTGGAAATGGTAGAACATCTCAAAGGTTGTTTTCTACTAATTGGTATTAATATCCTTATTCATATTAATCATAAAAATATCAAATAAACCCATAGTTAAGGTGCTAAAGAATTCTTACACTGTCCTTCATGGTAGTTATTTCCACATGAATTTTCAAAGAAAATAATAATAGGAAAACATTTATGAGCCAGAAAAAAATATAATTATACACTCAGTCCCACTAATCCATATTTCAGTGGGCTGAGCAAATGGAAATGGAAACAAGGTGGGAAAGAGGCAGAATAACAGGGATGAGAGCTCTTCTTGTGGAATCAGTTTGCTGGTCCCGGAGAAAACAAATTTACTGGCAAAATTGAAAGAAATCAGAAATTGGTGGATTTTTGCCTGTGCTTATGTTTCTAATCTCAATCCATTATAGTATGCACTTCTGCATATACCCGGAACTCACTGTATTGCAAAGTGTTCAAATCAATATTTTGTTTACTTACTTATTTTTAAGTGAAGTATAACTAACATTGTATTAGTTTCAGGTATACAACAAAAATGATTCAATATATGTATTCAAATCAATATCTGAGGTCAGCAAATGCACACTGGGTGCTGTTGTAGTCTCCAGAGCCTTTAGAAATTGCAGATGAATGGCTGCAATTGCCAGTTAAACAATTTGATGATAAATTTTAACTGTGAATGCAGTGGGATTTATATCTGGAGCTGCAACTCTAAGTTTTAAGAGTAAAATTCATTTAGAACACTAATTTCCCAGAGACCTGGAGGCACAACACGGGAACTTCTTATACCAAATTCTCTGGAGGTTTGTTTCAGGTTTCATTTTGTTTTGTTTTTGATTTTGGTTTTGGTTTTGGATTTTGGATTTTAGCTAATATTCAATAATTTACTCAATGCATTCATCAAAAAGTGAATGATTCTTAGATTTTAAAAAAACTCAGAGTTCCTTGGCCTTCTCAAGTCTAATCTTCTACTTTTACTAAGCAGGATCACTTCCTGAGCTACTGAATCAATGGGAAAAAATCCTAATCCCAATATTAAGTCTCCCTCTTGATCATGACCTTTTGTTGTTTTTTTCAGTCCTTGCTCACTCCCATTTCAACCCCTTCTAACTTCATCAGGACCTCTAGCTCCTTGGCTTCTCTAATACCCCCAGTTAGGAGTTTTGCTGGCTCCCCTATGTACTTTGGAGCCTCCATCAATCATCCATGTAGCCCTGAATTCTCTCAGAGGATTGTCCAGTGCCACACCTCACCCACGCATAAGTCCTAGCACCTCCTTGATTGATTGAAGCAGTGAGATCTCTCATCAGTGCCTAGAATTTAGTGAGATATCAATAATTGCTGGTCTGTTTGCTTATTTTTTTATCTTCCGTATCTACTCACTAACTCTTATTCCAGACCTGAAGAAAATAACTAGAAGACTCATAAAAATAGTCTAGATTGAATCACTACCATCCATGTTTGTCTCCTTTCAGCCATATCCTCAGAATTCTTAAAAATTACTGTATTTCCCTCCCATTGATTTCTCTCACATCTGACAGAAGCTATCCTATTTTGTTTATTCTTAAATTCCCTACCTTCTTGCTTTCCTGTTCTCCACCCTCTTCAGGAACCCTCCTTTACTCTTATTTGCAATGCTAATTCCTCTGCCTCGTGATTCTCTGGGACCCTCTTCTTTTAATTATTCTCATTCTTTTTTAATGTTTTTTTTGAAAGAGAGACAGAGAGAATGAACATGGGAGGGGCAAAGAGAAGAGAGAGAATCCCAACCAGTCTCTGCCCTGTCAGCACATAGACCCATATTGGGCTTGATCCCATGAATCCTGAGATCATGACCTGAGCCAAAATCAAGAATCAGACACTTAACTGACTGAGCCACCCAGGCACCCCTCATTATTCTCCTTCTTATAACTTCAAGTGTTCCTTTGTATTGGTCACAGCTCAATCCTATCATGAAATAGTTCATTCTCCTGCCACCTCCAAACAGCACACGTTCATTTTGCATCTATATCCCATACCTATTTTTCTCAAAAGAATAATGTATACTTGCTTGCATGTATAAATTTCTTCATGTATGCCATTAATTCAAAGGAATTTGGGGGCTTTTAAAATGTAAGGTAAACATCTGAACTTTTAAAATTTGGATTGTACTCAGCAGCAATGAAGGAAGTGATGGGACTCACTATAATGTGGACACATCAGAAAAAAAAAGTCAGCTTGCTGGCAGAAAAACAATGGTGTCCAGCTACCTAAGAGAAAGTAAAACTACAAGGGCCTAGACCAAGAGGACCCAGAGAAATCTAAGAAGTGGGGGTCAAGATGAGCCTGGAAGTGTTAGTTCCCCAGTTTCTGAATGCTTAATTTATAAGAGAATTTAACTGAAAAGTAACATTAAAATAATATATATGTATATATATACATATACATATATGGAAGTCTCTATTAAATTTCTTACTTTTGACTAGAGGAGTTTAAGCTAAATGGAAATTTAATTTAATATGTAATATTAAATGTGTAATTATAATTAATTAATATTACATTTAATACCTAAAATATCATAAGCCCTTACATTAATTTCTAAAATAAAAATTAGATAGGCATCAGCGCATTATCAATAATCAGAGATATGGAACCAGGAGGATAAAGTATTCTACTTAGTTTTCTATTTGTATATTTTCTTTTATCAAAGTAAATCAACTAAATAAACATTGATTAAAATAAAATCAGGCTTTTTCATTCCAAACATGATTTTCATCATCACAGTAAGAAACTTCTTCTGGCTTCTGTTGCTCATTAAAAAAAAATATTAGAGAATCAAAACCACAAATTTAAAAATAAAATAAGCAATCTGTGACAAGGCCTCTCTTTGTTTAGACTCCCTATTTCTGACCAGCGATAAAATATCTTAGGAAGCTTCCACATCGTAAGACAACAGTTTACTCTGACACCTTACAAAACAACAAATCTCTCCTATTTGGCTTAAGCAAAATATGGATAGAGAGCATACCCACCAACCTTCCATTCATGGAGCAATATGTACAGTATCCTCACACACATTTTGTTCTATCATTCAGCACCATCCAAAATGGTGAGCCTCTTCATTTTTGCTACCTGCAGTAATTCAAATTTCAGGCCCACACAACAGATAGAAGGATATCTGCTACTCTGAAAGACAGAGTGATGTGGGTATTCAGGTGCTTATTCTTCATTTCAAGGAAGGCCACAGAACTAGCTCTTAAACATTCTTCAATATGAAAATTTCACAAAATTAAGGCAGGGACCCATACTTTTTCTCACATTGTTTTAGGATTTTTTTCTGTTTGTTTATTTTTGGGTTTTTGTTTTTGTTTTTGTTTTGTTTTTTTGTTTAATCCATCTGCCATCCTTCAGAAGACTTCCAAACACAGTACCTCTCCAGGTTTGGCTATATAGATATTACTCTAGAATATTTTAAGCTCCAGGATATCTTTGAGTCAAATGTATAATCCTATACTTTTAAAAATAAAATTGTTAATTTTAAATAAGAATGGCTATCACGAACCCAGCTGAAATGATTTTTCACATCCTAGGTACCAATGCCCCACGCGTTTACATGAGATAAGGTGTGGACTTTGAGACTGGACAGAATGAGTATTCCTGCTTTAAGGAAACATAGAGGCCCCTTTTATTGCAAACCTTCCCCCATGTAAAATAAAGTATTTTTCCTCATTTTAGTGGCCTTCTAAGTTGATGAGCTGCTTAAAGCAGCAATACTGGCTGCACATATGTTAAAATCACTGCCAGATGATAGCTGTTCCAAGGATAACACAGGACACCCCCATAGTGTGTAGGAGCTGGGTAGGAGAGAGAGAGGGACTGATGCAGAACTGACAGTCCTGATAGGAGCAGATGGTGGTGAATACTCACAAAGCTTTTTAATACACACCACTCCTTATTCCAAGCTATTGTATGGGGACTTCCTGCATGCCAGAGTTTTCAAAACTAATTGCCTTTGTATCTGCTGCCATAACTGCATTTGTCCAAGGGGAAAGCCGGGGGTGAAGGGACGGAAGAGAATGTACTGTGGACTTTCTGGCACTCTACTACTTACTTATTCAACTGTCTATTAATTATGTAATTTCACTGTTCATAGATTTCAGAAGGTGCAGCCAGGAATAGATCCAATGCCCTTTGGGGTTAAAGAGTGACAAAGAGAGAAGAAATAGGGGAGGGCAGGGGTTGGAAAAGGCTATGTTTAACTTCATGGGAAAGCAATAAAATCAAACTCAGTGAAAAAAAATTACCTTGATAAAAAAGTCTCACAGTGTATCCAAAAACAGTTAAGTCAGATTGGGGGCTTCTTCTGAACCAGGGTAAGTGTTCCTGGAGACATGAGCATCCTGTATGTATGTCTTTGGTGGAAGACACTTTGTTTCCATGACTCCTCTTAAAGCACTTGCTGCCCATCATTTTTACTTGCTGAGCACCAACTGTGTGCTGTTGAGAGCTATGAAGGATGGAAAAGATAGTGTATCAGTCAGGGTTCTCCAGAGAAACAGAACCAATAATATGTGTAGATAGACAAATAGAGATGCATTTTAATCATCTAATTCATGTAACTAGATCTTGTAAGTTTGGAGGCTAGAAAATCCAAAATCTGCAGGGTAGGCCAACAGGGTGGAGATTCAGAGAACAGTTAATGTTGCAGCTCAAGTGTGAAGACAGTCTGGAAGCAGAATTCTCCCTTTCATGTAGGATGTGTCTTTTTTTTTCTCTTAAAACCTTTACTAACTGGATGGGGCCCACCCACATTAGGGAGGGTAATCTGTTCTACTCAGTCTGCTGATTTGAATGTTAATCTCAACTAAAAAATGCCTTTACACTAACATCCAGACTGGTGTTTGACTAAATATCTGAGTACCCTGGCCTAACCAAGTTAACCCACAAAATTAATCAGCACACATAATCACCTGCCTCATTTAACTTAAAAGGGAATGAATCTTCATAGAAAAAAATTTTAAGGACTCACCTCTTTTCCACTATATGAAAGGACTTGCCCTCTGTGAAAGTCTATTCAAAATAAATTTTATGAACTCTGTTTCCCAGGCATACCCTTTAAATATTGTTTTATTAAAAAATCTGAAATACCAAAATATTCACTTAATATTTCAAAATTACCTTGTCCGACAAACTTCTCAGTTATAGGGAACTGAGTTAAGTGGAAACAATTGCTTTTGCTCTTCCATAAACCTGGGGACCTTATTAGTCTGAGATTTAATAGTTTAGTGCTGGTTATTTTAAAAGTCAATATGATTGGTTTAGCCAGTGTGTGGGAGAAGTAGTAGAAGATACAAAAAGGAGGTGGGTGAATTTCTTGAACATTTCAATCAATGAAACTGAAATTGTCAGTTGGGTATAAAAACACTAAGATTTTCTTTTCTATTTTTGGAGATTCTGAGTGAGAAAGAAATACAGCTATGTTCCTTTAACTAAAAAGTATGAATAATAAATATAAAATTACAATTTATTTTTTACAAAACATGTCATCTAGTTATGGTTTGTTCATTTGGCCTCACAAACATTCCTAAACCATGCAGGGAAGCTACTGTTAGACCCTCGGTTCCGAACTGGCAAATGAGATTGAAAGAGATTATGAAAACACCTTTTGGCTACTTGGCTGATAAGTAGGAAAAACAGGATTTAAACCATGTCCATCTCCTTCTAAATCTAAGAAGTTTACAGGAGGAGCAGCTATATATTAAGCTTCAGGTTTGTGCCTTAATTCATTTACCAGATGGGAATAAAATAACACTTCTCAAACTGTTTTGAGGATTACATAAGGGTGTGCAGGGAAAGTGGTGAGCACAATGGTTAGCATATGGGAAATCCTCAATTCTTGCAAGCCTCTAGAATTACTTATTAGCAACATCCACAACTCTGTTTAAGAGGGCTATGGAATGAGCCCTTGGTCCCAGCACCTAGAAAAGGGATTGCTTGGTTTGCACTGCAGTGTTGCTCAGCTATAGGGGATCCCAACTGTATAAAGTACCGCTTGTAAATGAGCAAGGTCTCTGCATATTATGGCAGTACAGAAGCCGCTGCCACAGCAGTCAAAATGTGAGCAAGGTGAAAATAAGAGTCCTGAAAAAAAAAATACGGAGGAAGCAGTAACCAGTTGGAGCAGTACCCAGCAGGGTCAAGCACCTTAGGTATCTTGTGTCTAATAGCAAAGAGAACTAGATGAAGCCAAACTTCATAAAACTTGCTACTCCACCACACCTTAGTGATACATCATCATCCATATCAATAATTTCTTTCTCTCTTATCAGAATTTTAGGGATGGAAAATCAAGGCAAAATTAAAATTTTAACAAGTTAAACTATTGGTTGATTAAGTAGACCAATCATATTAGACATTATTCTCTGAAAACTCACCTCATGAATCTTTTAATTACATAATGATACTATAAAATGGAAGGTAAATAGTATTCCTCTCCACTTGGCATATAGAGAAACGGAGAGATATAAAACTTAATTAGATTGTACTTAGACTTATAAATCAGTGAAAAACCCAGAATTGAATCCAAGTGATGTTTTTATTCATATTGTCTATTCAGAAAACCAAATGGCAATTTATACATTTCAGAAAGAACAATAAATCAACCTCAATTTCCTTCACAAACAAAAAATAGTATAAATTCAGTACTCCAAAATGAAAAAAGCACCTTAGATTAAAATATCAATATAACTGTCTTCTGAGAAATCAAATAAAATATTAAATCTAAAATAAGTTTGTTTATACTGACAAGCTCAGTGAAAAATATCAAGGCCAGTTTGTCTAAGCAATAAACCTATGAAAATCAAGTTGCCAGACATAAATGCTTATGGGTGACATTATCTATTACTATGGTGCCAAACAAATGTTGGTGACAACTAGACAATACATTTAGACCATGAAACGCAATGATTCAGCATGCTAATTTTCTCTACCCCCTTTTTGAAACATTTTTTTAATAGTGAAACACAATGAAGACAGACTCCCGGAAAAGACACCAGTCTTGATTTACAATTTACCTCTTCTCTGAAGGGCTAACAATTCTTGCTATTCTTTCATCCTTGCCCTGCCAGATCTCAAGTGTGCTCAGCTTTGAGAACAGAAAAGATAATCATTTCTGGCTTATATTGGGTTCTCCCAGGAGCTTGACTGTGAGATTAGGATTTATGTGCAAGTAGTTTATTGAGGTGATAATCTCAGGAGAGTAGGGAAGTGAGGCAAGGAAGGGAAGAATGCCAATATATGGTGTTTCATAAGCAGGTAAACACAGTGGGCAAGTAGGATTCAATCTGGCTTTGTACTTTTGGCAGAGGGTGAGAAATATGTTCTAGAGTTTTACAATGGGAGTAAAGAGAGAACTAGACTACTCATGTACTAATTCCCATTTGTAATTCGTGGGAAGCTGGGTGGCTCGGGGGTGGGTGGGGGGGAGTCATTAGTAGTTAACTCCCTAGCACTTCTAGCTTGCCTTGACTCAGACCTGTGGAGTCAGAAAAAACCTTTAGAGTAAAACCTGAAAGTACTTGTATTAAGAAGGCTGTGAATGCCAAAGGGATAGAGTTGGGAAGCCTACAGCATCTTGTAGTAGTTGTTAACCTCAGACGTAGACTAGATTAATAAGTACAGCGTGGTCATCAATCTTTATCACTTTACTTCCTAGACCCTTTGGTGTGCAGTCCCTTTAATATTTACATAGGGCAGGGATTCTCAATGACCCTGCTAGCACCATATGTCATGGCCAGTTGTAAGATGTATAGCACTAATGTATTACTAATAAGAGTTCAGTTACCAAAATTTGAAAATAATTAACCTTTTTAATGAATTTATATAACCCTCAGGTTATTCTTTTTGATCCATCCATCTATAACCCTGGATTGGTATGTTTCCTAAGTGAAAGGGTAAAGAATAGAGTGGACATTTGTACTCTGAAATGCTCATAACCAAGAGTCTACATCATGTACGCTACAAACTGAAGTGTCTCTCTCATATAGACAAATCTTTACTCTGTATTTTATGAATTAAAAGGGTTTGGAATCTGGTAAAGGCAGCAAAATCCATCTCTATATATTCCTTCTGAGTAAAAGACTTGCAAAGGATATGCCAAACACAAATCCTCAAAGAGTTTGAGACATATTCTCTCTCTTTTTGTGGAAAAGTTTAATTTCATGAGAAATTTAGTTAGATGTCTGATCAAGTACTTTCCAAAGGGCATGCAATAATCCAAATTGCATTCAAACTTGGGTAAGACTGGCATGTTACCACATTCAGGTTTAGAGTCAGTCATGGAGAAATAAAGTGCATTATAATTGTAGTCACCCAAAAGAAGAGGAGAGAGTGCATACACTCCACAACATATAATAAAATGTTCTCAAAGCAGAATTTGTCAATTTTTTTAGGATGTCTAAAAGTTGTTATAAGAATGCAAGTATGTGTGTTTCAGTGCATTTTATAAAGTGAAATCAGAGTCGAATCTGTCCAAGAGAACATCACTAGGAAATATATTAATTATTAATTCAACACTTTGAATGTTGAGCACTGCGCTAATAAGAAAAAAAAAACCTCATGCCATTACAGAACTTAATTCATACAGTTGGAATATGCATACCAAACTTTAAATACTAGAAAAGGCACCAGACAACTGTATATAATTATTCTGTAATGATAGGTTGAGAAATAAGTGCCAGAAGTTCATAAGAGGACCTCATCATTATTGATGACTTGGCTGAGAAGACAGAGATTGAACCCAACCAGAAAGATAGGTTTCTGGATGTGATCAAACAACCATCAGGTTAAGGACAGAAGACAGACACAATGAGAAAACTGAGAATACTTAGAACAGTTCCTTAGTGATTATTGATGTAGTAGTAGACATTCAATGAATAATTCAGTATTCAATAGTTCACTATTGAAAACTCAGTAAATCACTATTATTTTTAAGCATTTATAGCAACCATCAAAAGGACACAGCTATAAATTTGGGGCTCATTGCATCTCTGCATTTTGTTTAACATTTGTATAATTTTTTCCCAAGCATCAGACAGCAGGTCACCAATTAAAGGATTTAATGATACTAAATTTTGAAAATTGTTTCTTAAAGAACATTAGGAGGAAAGAAAGTGTCTTTATAAAAGACAATGGTGAGTAATCCCTTTCTGTATTAATAAAGGCTTAATTTTCAAGTCAATCCAGATTTGAGTTTTTTTGAATAGTAAAGTAATGATCTAGACAGTAGTCAGAATCTTGTGTCTTCTGTCATTCTATCCATTCAATAAGAAGATGTCAGAATAAAATATTATGTTTAAGGGCATTATGAGACTAACCAGACAAAATAATTTTGGCAAAATTGTCCCCAAAGGAATTGTTTCACAAGGTCATTTACTCGTAACTTTGCAGAAATGCCTCACTGAAGTCCTTGTAAACCTCCCTGATAACCTAAGTTTCTTGAGACCACGA